TGTGTGTGTGGAGGTGAAAGCTTTTAGCGTCAAGATAGTATAGTGTTAAAGTACCTACTCGGTGGCTGATCAAACACATTAAACATTAACTAAACAGTAGGGTCAATCTCATCGTCCTTTCATCATTCCTACTCGAGTTATAATACAATTAACATCGTCATTGTCATTACATCATCTTTATAATAATCACCGTCAGATCATCAACGAACAAACAGAAGAACAAACAAACAAAAGAACAACAAACAAACAGAAGAACAAACAAACAGAAAAACAAACAAACAGAAGAACAAACAAACAGAAGAACAAACAAACAGAAGAACAAACAAACAGAAGAACAAACAAACAGACAAACGGGCCAACTTTTAGCATGGAGCCGTAATGATTGAAGATATCTTCTTCAATTGTTTTCAAAATTGGTCTACTTACATTCAACGATTTGAGGGTTTTGTTTTCGTGAAGAACAGTCGTCAGAGCTACCACGGCGTTGATGCCCTGAGTTATGATAACGATGATTGTGGAGATGATAATGATTGTGAAGATGACGATGATGATTGTGATGATGAAGATGATGATTGTGATGACGATGATGATGATTGTGATGATGTCGATGATTGTGGTGATGATAAAAACACGCACAAGATCGCAGTCCCCAAGATCGAGTTCCTCGAGTTGATCGTTGATTTGAAGGGCCTCGGCGAAATAAACGCCCCCCTTGTCGCCTATCTTGTTTCCCGTCATTCGCAAACTTTTAATGGCCTTGTTTCTCTAAGGGGTATGAAATAATAGTATGGAAAAAATTTATTAAAGTTAGTTTACATTTACAGTTTTTACAAGAGAAATTGACTCGTAAAGTTTACAAATCGTTTACAATTTGCATCCACAAAATGTTGAGCTTTTTTGTCCGGCGCGCGATTTTCAAAAAACATCTTCAGTGGTTGGAAGATTGATAGCAATATTAATAATATAAATAATAATTGTTATATGAAGACGTTGTTCATACGTATATAAAGAACACGAACATGCAATGAACCGGCGATATACTGTGCTCCTTTTGGCCCTATGTCATTGCACATCAAATTCAACTTCTGGATCGAGAAATTCTTCTGAATTTTCAAAAAAAATAAAATAAACAATTTTAAGATAGAATATAATAATGTTATTTTAAAATAAACAGAGCTAATATCACTAAAACGTTTGTGCGAATTTAATATTTAAAATTTTGTGCTTTATATTGAACTGAATTTAAAGACAGCTACAGATACTTTTACAGTTATAATTAAAACGAAATTAAATTTGATTTATTCAAAATATAATATATTTAATTTTATTTATTCAAAATGTAACATATAAAAATTACAGTTAACAATTTAGCAATGGAAAGCGCGCCTTTGTCTGTGATATTGTTGAACCTAAGGTCAAGGGCAATGACGTAAGTGTTGTTGGTCAGCCATCTTTCGAAAACATCCATATCCGTGTCAGTCAGTCTGGTGTCCGTCATCACTTTGTTGTTGCCGGCCAGATATAGGGATGTGCTCTTGTTACATAATCTTGATTAGTGATTAGTGAAATTGCTTTTTTGGTGGTTTACGTTTAGTTTGGTGGATACGTCTTATTTGTCTATAATTCAGTAGCGCTTTTGAGTTTCAACAATTAAAATGCGTTGTATATAAATTTCCGTAATAATAATAATAATAACGTTTGTTAAAGTTAAGAAAGTAATTAATCAACTCAATACATATTTTTATCACTCTCTACAACTTTGTAAACTTGAACAATAATGCCAATTATCATTATTAATTAATTGAATGATCAATTAATTAATTATAAAGGTAAATGCGACAAACATTATATTCTCATCCATCTCAAATTGCAGCATGTTAATCACGGTCGGGTTTGGTTCCAATCTTTTTTCGGAGCAAGCTAATGTATAATTATTCTCTGTCTCATATATATCAGCCATTTTTTCGGCTGAATAATATTCCCAAGCTAATTGAAAATTCGAAAATCAAGGTTTAATGAGTGAAGCTATTGAAATATCGCCAATATAAATCAATCAATTAATTTATTAATAAGAAACTTTGAGCTGAAAAATAAGACTCGTCGTCATAGTAACAAAGAAAATAAATGTCTGCAGTCTATTGGCATGCTATTTTGACATGGGAATTGAACCTAACTCTTGCAAACTATTGAATGATTAGCTTTAGAATTGTTAGGTTTCAATGTTTTAACCAAGAAATTCATTTTTCTTCATAACTGACTCATTCCACTTTATCCATATCAATCAATTAATCATTTAATCAATCAATTTGATTTACTTCATTTGATTTACTTTCATTTAATTTGATTATTTACATTTACTTCATAATCACTAAACATCATATAAACACATACGTTTAAATAAATGTTTACATTATATATACATGTGTGTGTGTGTGTGTGTGTGTGTGTGTGTGTGTGTGTGTGTGTGCGTGATTGTGTATGTGTTGCGTGTGTGTGTGAAAACTTCACGGTATTTCTATTAAAAATTGATGCAATAAATTTTGTAAAACCTCTTGACAGCATGAAGTAATAAAGATAGTAAAGAGACACACCCATTATTTTTATTAACATTTTATTAATATTTTACGAAAGTCTCAAGTAATCTCATAGTCTATAATGATACTGTATATCATTATCAAAGATTCAAAGCAGATGGTACCTCCTTGCTTCGGTACCGATGCCGCCTGCCATTCCTCTACCGCTACGCTCACAGCTGTACAACACACGCTATACGCTCTGTTCTGATGTATGGTGCAGAGATGTGGCGGATGACAAGAAAACTCGAACAGCAGCTTCACCGAACTGACCTGAAGATGATTCAGCATGTTGACCTATAAGGGATCATATCCATACAACCGAGACCCTGGAACGATGCATGTTGTCGCCATCGTTGTTTTTAAATGAAGCAATATGCTTTTAAATTTTTAAAATCAAATAATATTATTTATTTGTTGAAAGATTTTCGTACCAATTAGTTTCCCATTTATTAGTTTTATTTCATTTAAATGTTTTTCAATTTAAAAAAAATTGAGTGTTTTTCAATTTAAAAAAAAATTGAGACAGGTGAATTATTTTGAAATTTTCGATCAAGTTTGGCGAATAAGCCTAAACAAAAATTAATATTTTTAATAAATAAATTCATCTACTTATATAATATTGATATAGTACTCTAATAACGAACAAATTAACCATGTCGATATAAATGTCAAGAAATATTTATTTCTTCCTAAAGATGTCACTAACTTTGTTTATTACACTGAAAAGTTTCAATAAGCAACCATTTATCAATTTAAATACTTAAAATATTATATGGGATTGGACAATTTAGCGTTACAGCGTTTCGTGTCTATTGAGACCAAAAAATCCTTACCATCAACATGCCATCGTAAGGAGCATTATCTTGTATTCTGCATACGTGTAGAGTATTATAAATATCTGTTAAATGAGTTTTTTTTTAATTTTACAGATGTTTTTATACTTAGTTGCTACTAATTTTAACCATATTAAGATGATGTCGTGTTGATAGCATCACGCAAAAAGTTAAAGATCAATTTAAGTGAAAATTAACGGCTATTGCAAGTTGTGAAGATCTTAGAATTCTTATCGCATGATTCATTGACGTTAACATTTTTAGAATTTTTTCGTTTTTGTAACCATAGATACATATATGTTTATATTTTTGTCGATTGGTTCTTTTAACCATGGATACATATATGTTCATATTTTTTGTACACATTTTACATGATATTAATATAAACCCACTGGAGTGTGTAAGATAAATTAAAGTTATATAGAATATATAGATATAAGAAAAGGTAGATAAGGTATAGATAAGAAAAGGTATACCTTGATAGACCTCTGAAACATTTCAATGGAGAAAAATTGTTTTGAATATTAGATGCTTGTTCATTTATTAAAACAATAAATGTCAAAATTTGTAAAAATGTTTTATAAGATTTTAAATCGCATTTGTTTTTTTGCCGTGGTAATGATTGTAATCCTCTATATTTCAAACTACACGCTGTTTGAAGAGAATGGTAAAAAAATAAATATCGAATTTTTCGATCAGCCCGAAGATAAGAGTGACTATCGAGTTAATGTAATAAAAAGTCGCGAGAACATGTCTAGCAATGAAATTTTGTTTGGGTTCTTGAGGCCTAAAAGTTTGGAAGGTCTGCTCGGTGAAGTGAAAGTTGTTTCAATGTCACTGTACGGTAGCCAGCCGAGGTATGTAGGAGGAGCATTGAAGAATGCAGAGTTGGTCAAAAAGAATTTCCCCGGCTGGACCTTACGGATTTACGTGGACTCGTCAAACTCCTCCAAGTATGAAGCTGTTCCATCGAATGTTTTGAAGGAATTGGAAGGCCTTGGTGTTGATGTTCACCGCGTGGAGAACGACGAACTCTCCGTGCCACCGATGATGTGGAGGTTGGTTTGGTGCCAGGTTGTTCATCATAATTGGTTTTTAATTGTACAATTGAGTCAAAAATTGAAGAAGGAATTTCAAAATTTATTGTATAAACAAACGATAATCAACCCGATCAACCAACATCAATTCAACCGCATTCAATCACCTCATCAGATTCTTAGTAGCAGACGATCCCACTGTCGATCGCTTCATTATTCGAGATTCTGACTCCAGACTGACGGAGCGGGATTACAAAGGTGTTCAGGCGTGGATGGCTTCCAGGCAAGCATTCCACTGCGTCAGGGATCACCCGACCCATGCTCAGCATGCAATATCGAGAGGGCTCTGGGGAGCGAGGTCCTACTATCTCCGACAAATTCTGGATATGCCAAATTTTCAAGAGTATTCAATTTTTTTAAACTTTTTATGTTTCAGCCTCTGCATTGTGGTTTAACTTTTAATACGATTCTGGTATTTATAGCTTTTTCTTTTTCTACATATTTTAAAAATTTAGTTCGTGGACTAGGCAGCTGTTCAACCATTCATCATCTCACTCGAGCGATATGGATATCCTTAACAGAAAAATCTGGCCGAGAGTTTCCAAACACGCTTACTGCTCAGATAGTGTTTCATGTGATATATATCCTAATTCATTTCCTTTTCCCGTCCCAAGGTTTTTATCTAAAACGTTTGAAAATTGTTTGAATTGAATTTTTTCATAAAACGTTTTATTATCGATTATTATTGAGTCATTTTCAATAGATTTTAGTAATGTTTTTTAATATTTTAAAATTATTTGTTCATTATTTTAGGAGAAACTTCGAATATGTCGGACAAGTAGGAGTTATTTTTACATTTTTTATTCAAGTTTATTTCAAAATCGTTTGAGTTAGATTCAAATTAAACCTTTTCAAACGTTGGTAACACAATAAAAATAAAGCTTCAAAAGGCATGCTCAAAGTTGATATAATTCAAAGTGAAAGTTGACAAATAGCGATGTTATCATTAGAAATATTTCAACCTAATGTCAAAATGCTTTGAAAAACAACAACAACAACATTAACAACTACATAACCAACAACTAATAACCCACTACAAAGACCACTGACACCAAATATACAGGCTTGGGACGACAGAGACGTAGGAAATTCAGATGACATTAACGTCCTCAAGCCAGTCGGCGAGAATAAGAACTGCACTCAGCCTATGACTCGCGTAAATTTCTAATTAAAATAAAAATTATAAAATAATTTTGTAAAAAACGTCTGCATTGACATTTTTTGGGAATATAAAACACTTATTTGTTCAATTTTTTATTTAACTTATTTAACTTATCTATATAAAATGTCTAGTTTTTTTTAGGATTTTTTTTTTCATAAACGGTGATAGATAGTGATATAAGCACGGTATAGATAATCTGTATAAGAAAGAAAATTGTTTATATGATGTTTTATTTCCCTTGCTTGACATATGCCATGGTTCTTGCTTCTCTTTTTATTACAAAAAAATTAATAAATTTACATCTAACAATTTTGAAATCGTCAAAATGTAACTTAAAGAAGCAAATTTATCAATGAACAGACAAAAAATATTTCGGTTATTGTAATGTTTGGCGTTAGATATATTTTTATAGATTTAAAATTTTTATATTTTAAGAAGATATTTTTTAACGCATTGCTATTAACTCTGCTTTCAACGTATTGTTATTGCTGTTAAATTTATTTTATTTTCATTCCTGTGCTACTCACGGAAGAGTGGAAAACGCATCTCCTCTCCACATAAAATTGTTGCCTGCCCTTACTGCGTGACTCACTTTTAATATTTCTTCATCCATCTTTTTAAACCGCAAAGCGTGACATCAGTTGAAACGTTGCAGACAAATTATTTTTTGATGTGCATTATTACAATTTTTACTTATTGTTAATTTTAGAACATTATTTTCCCATGCATGCATACATACATATATCGCTAGTATGTCGCATGTTGACGTGCTTGAAATCATTTGAAATCTTAATCCGAAGTTATTTGTACGAGGAAAAGTTTGGTCTTGCGCCTTTGTTACTTTATTTTTAAACGATATTTTACAAATTTTATAATCTATAACCACTTGGAATTTTTTTCTAAATGTAATTTTTGCGTGTTCAAGTATTTTTTTAAATTTTGTTTTGAAACATCTGCTGGCGCCAGTTTTTTCCTTGCTTATTCAACTAATCTACGTTCGAACAAAAATTAGTTGAAACATTTTTACTGCAGCTATTTTTAATTTGTGTTTTTTGCTGTAACTTTCCACTTTTTCAAAATCTTATTGATCGTACTTTTTACGTCTGGTTTATACCCATCATACGGTCCGTTCATCATAAACAACATCACTTCTATTGCAACATTCCATTTACGCTCACTCGAACCTCATTTTGTTTAAAATTGGTTAAAGTATTTTCAAAATTATACAAATATTTCTCATGCTTCGACTTGCAAACCACTAATAAAACAAAAAACGCAAAATTACAATGCTTTGGATACAAAGCCTGAAGGTTTTCTGATACTCTGCCAACCCTAGTGAAAGAACTTATCCAAAGGGCAGGCAAGAATCACAAAACAGAAAGCATTTTAACCATTCACGTACAAAGTAACCGGGCTTAGAAGAAAACAAAACAGGTAAAAAAAACATTATCAAGTTCTGTAACAATGCCGAATCTAAAATAATTATCCAACCTAAGAAGCGGTAGTGGATAGAATTTGTTTGTATAACATGAACTGACCCAATACTGCATATATTCCTGTGTGAGTTACTAACTAACCTGTGTATATGTCTGTGTGTTTGTGTTTTGCTTTTATCCACTGTTCTATTTTATCATTCATTTATTCATTCATGCATGCCTTTATTCATGCATGCATGCACCATTCATTCATTAGCTACGAAATTCATTAGGACAATTTAAATCGCTAATCGTCTGTGGGGACAATAGTTGGCGCCTCCTTAAGCGATATTTTACGAATACATATGAAGGTATCAATTATATATACACAATGTACACTTATACATATACATATGAATGTATCAATGATTCAATATATATATAATATGCGTGTGTATTAGAGTGTGTGTGTAGTGTGTGTGTATGTGTGTGTGTGTGTGTGGAGGTGTGTGTGTGGAGATGTGTGGGAGGAGGTGTGTGTGTGTGTGGAGGTGTGTGGAGGTGTAGGTGTGTGTGCGTTAAAAATATTTCATTACGTGCTTTTTGCTCAGCCAACTATTGCTGTGATTATCCCTCTTCTAAGCCTGTCTCTATATTGCTTCATAATAGGATGCGGTTTCCATGACTAGATGATTAGTATGCGCTCATGTCTAAAAAATTTATGATTAATTAAATTTTTATGTGAGGCACTTACATCCATTCACGTGTATTTAATACAACACAGGCCATATCTTTGATGCTACTACTACTGCTTCTACTGCATTCGCTACCATTACTACTACTGTTCATTTTATAATAATGGATTTAGAGTGATGACAAATGGTGAAAATAAAGGCATTATTACTACTGCTGATATTGTTGTGAGTAAACTTCAAGTTCTTTTTTGGAAAAGATTTTATTTTAAAAATGTTAAAAATATTGAAAAATATTTATAAATCGATTAAAAAACTTACAACCAGAACTTCAAATAAGTTTTTCTGAAAAGCTTTACAAATATTCATACCACCGCTCTTCTTTGGCGCATTCTGGGTCTACATGATCAACTTTTACGGTTACCGCCATTTTATAAAATTTGAATTTGAGCATTAGAAGCATCGAACTGTTACTAAGAACAGTGCGCCGATCATTCAGCAACTCCTTCGTTGGTCATCTTAAACTCATTAACAATTCTAATCTGTCTCATTAGTCTCAATAAAACCGTTTACTAGGTACATCTTCGCAGTTTAGTACATCTTCACAGTTTAGTACATCTTCGCAGTTTAGTACATCTTCACAGTTTAGTACATCGTCACTACTGAATATCCTCAACTTAGCCAAATTGAACATTTTCGTTCAAATTTTCAACCTTCCTTCAAGTATTTTTAATTTTTTTTAGCTTTCTGTTCATTCCTCAAACTATTTTTAAAATCTTATCTGTAGGGTGTAGCAAAAAGAATATATAATCGTTCGACGGGTGTCAGTAGGTAACCCGTGAAGTAAACATCTACATCGGGGCACACACACACAAACACACATACACACACACACGACACACACACACACACACACACACACAGAGTCTAACTAATACAACAGACTGTATGCAAACTAATCTCATAAACATAAAACATTTAATTACACTTTGTTGTTAAATTTAGAAAACAATGACGTTAAAGGTAAAATGAGTCATAAGTCATAAATTAATTAGTCTAAAAAATTATGAAATTATAAGTACGTCTGATGTATACAACTATAGTTTGTACAAAGTGTACACTCAGGCCTACAAATGTCTACATTTGAAATATGAATAAATTAAAAGTCGACGTACAGCAATTGCGACTAAACAAACAAACACACACACAACATATACCTGTACGTACGGTCCGCACTCTTCATTGCAAACTTTGCACATGTGAATGAAACGCCGTTACATTTGATTGACATCTGCTGACCACGCCTACATTTTATTTACCATCAATGACATCACAGTTTGGGGTGGAGTTAAAAAATTCCAAAACTTGATACAATTGATCATCGTATTAAACGCCAGAAGATTGCGTTATCTGATACATACAATGTCTACCATTTTGCATGTACACACAATGTACACCTGCATGTACAACATACCAACATGTATACAAATACCTATATCTGTTCATATACGTATGAATAAAACGTATTAAAATCATTTAAGTATGGAAGAAGGTCTATAAGAATATAATGTAAAACGTGATGTGGCACACTCGTATCAAGTAGACGTGTATTAGTGTTTATACATGCTATGTATATGTGTATAAAATAACTGTGTATTTCATATATAATGATAGATATACATGAATACATACGTGTACACATTGTATGTATCAGGTACCGCGTGTATGAATGTGTGTACGTGTATGTATTTTTACATGGTACTGTTCAGTGAATGAACGAGTTACTAACAGCATCCATTGTATAGGCTTCATTCAAATGGCTCATCAATACAATAGCAATAGAAGTTAAGTAAACTACACGACTCAAGTATATATATGTTTGTGTGTATATATTCGTTTGTTTGTGTATATATATATAAACATATATATATATGTGTGTGTGTGTGTGTGTGCGCTGTGCGTGCGTGTATGTGTTTGAATATGTATATACTTATATATTTTATATTATAATCTATATGAATAGTAACGGTTTGTATGTGCAATTGATGCATGTATGCATTTATTGTATAGATTAGTCCGTGTTTGATGCTAACAGTTAGATTATATTTTTCTTTACTATTTTATTCTACATTAAGTTAGCTTTGAGTTTAAACTGTTAAGATTTTATTATAGATAAAAAATAATTAACAAAATTAATTATTTGTATATATATATATAATATTTTATTGAAAAAGTTCAATTTCGTTATGAGCCTGGTTTGGTATGGGGTACTTTAAAAATCAATGATAGTTTTATTCTGTAGCTTTTTAAGTCTAAACAATGTTCGATGTGTGTAAGATGTTATTGTAATGTAATTGTGTTCTTATTAATATTATGTCTGTACTGGGATTGACGAATAAAATTTTATAAAACATTTTTTTTTTAATTTCACTCAAAATTTCATTATAAACGCGGGTACGTTAAAACTGGCAACGAATTAAATATTGGTAACGGTAAAGTTTGATATTTCCATTAAATAATTTTACTATAACTGCTACTGCCACTTCTACTACTACTACTACTACTACTACTACTACTACTACTACTACTACTACTACTACTACTACTTCTCCTAATACTACTACTACTACAATCAATAATGTAATATTTACAAATACCGTAACATTAATAGTCATTATTTTCATTTTAGCGAGGCAAGAAGACAAATGGCAAGCTGTTGAAATTCAAATAACAAGAAAACTGTTGGTAGTTCAGAGAAAATTTTGATAAAAATTCATATATTAATCGGGATATTAATGAGAAATGTTGAATAATGAAATATACTAATGATAACAATGTAGAACGATTCTACTATACAACATAACAAACAGCCAACATCAACGACAACCTTAGCAACAAC